AAGTCGTAAAGTGAACGCGTTGGGAATTACATTTAAGTAGAGTAAATTGTGAAAGTTGATGCAAGTGATTGTAGCTAGTAAAGTGTCTTATAATTGAATTGTGAATTACGGAGTAAATAAAGGACATTAGATCAAATCTTTATAACGAAAGATACTGCAAACAAAGTTGGCGAGTTTTATTTAACAATCCAGAGATCGTACCCGAAGGATTTAGGAAATCATCGAGGTTGATTTAGTAAAATCGTAACAATATAAATTTTGACGGCCAGCTTTGAAATTCTGACATGTGATGAATACAAACTGTGCAAGCTTTTTGAATAAATGCTATGAAGAGCATAACAACATAACAATAGCAACAACAAATCAATACAGCCACTTGCATTTCAAAATAAAAAGCAAATAACTTCATATTCGAGATGTTTTGTGGTAATTAATTGGACAATTTTTGTGAACATTTGTTTTGACAAATAACAAGAATAACAAGAAATCATTAATTGACTCATTGTTTCTGGCTTATTGATGTAAACATTAGTAAAGAAAAGCAAGAGTTTTCATTTTGCTTAGATCAGAATTTATGATTTTAGACCATATTTAATCTTTAACAGGAAATTTACTGAATTGTTCTCTGAATTTATTAGAGGTAAGATGTCGAATTGTGCTTATATTATATACAATAAAATCAACTCGTATAAATCTCATTCGTGCATATCATCATATCGAGTTCACTGTAAAGCACCATTAGCATTTTCGCCACAAATCACCTTAACAGCCCTATTCTGTCGAGGGAACAAAATTTACTTTGGTATTCAAATTTACCATTCAGTAAATTTTGTTACCATTTCGTATTCTGATCTCACTGTTACCCTGTAAATTTTGTTACCAGCGAAATGGGAGGTAACAAAAATATCTGCTGTTTGACTTTGTGTTATAAGTTTGAGAAAAAAAAAAAAAATAGGTAGGCATATGTTAAGCCAGGAATTCATTGAAGATGAAGAAAAAAGTGCAAGAAGCCGTATTTAAGGAAGTTTTCGAGACTAAAAAATAGCTCTTTAATATGTAAGATAACGTTTTCATTCAGCTTTTTTTTGTTGTCCAGGCATATTTTCCATAATTAGGTTCAAATATTTATGATTTAATAAACAAATTACTATAACTTTTTAATTTTTTTGTGCCCTGCCTTCCTTTTCGATGTAATATTTTTCTTTTTACTTTATCAACTGGAAATGTAATTTGATATGGACGAAAAAAGCTGCCAAAGTTTTTCAAACATTGTAACCAGTTCGCCGGAATATCAATTTCTATTTGGGTGTTAAAGAAAAGTAACAAAATTTACTTCACCGGTAACAATGAGAATAGGCCTGTTAGAGTGTTGAAAGAGAAATAACCAAAAATATTTAATTTAGAATAATAAAGGTTGATGTTGACGCAGTGGTCAGGAGCGCTAATTACGTTTTTTTCACTATCAATGTATCTATTCCCAATTTAAATATACGCCCTTAATAAACGTTCTGAGTTAGGCTGCAACTACCCATTTCACTTACCAGCCGTCCATAAGTGGCGACGTCAAGGCGAATACATACACGATTTATCGACGCCGCTGAGAGCGGCGAAATGTTGCCAGCTGCCTGTGTGTTTGCACACTTTTGAACAAATTCATAATTTTCGTCAACGAATTTCATCTTCTATGTGTTCGAATATAAACGCAAATCAAATATACATGATCTAGACGGTAACAAATAATTAGTTACGCACTTATTTTTCATTTCTTTTAAATAAAACTACGCATTATCTTTGATTATTTAATGTTACTTTAAGAAAGGCTATACTGGCAACTTTGTATAGCAACGAAAAATGAGCCGAGCCGGTTTTACGTAAAAAATCAAAACTTCGTTGGTTTCTGCGGAACAACCGTCACTAACGGTATGGGCAAGCGGTGACAACTTTGTGTTTACATGGCGCTCTTATAAGATAGGTTACTATGGACGGCTGGTAAGTAAAATGGGTAGTTGCAGCCTTAGCAACGAGTGCTCGCAAACTCGTTCATTGCTGATTGGTCGAAAAATTTTGAGCATTTCGAATAAAAATTTTACTTTTCCCAGAACTTTCTTTTATAGTTTGAATTCTACTTATGAAAATTGTAAATTTCATAGACATACTAAAGAAATTTTGACAAACATAATTGAAATATTAAAAATTTCAAACTATCATTTGGACAGTTGAGCAACGAACGAGTATCGAGTAAGTATCGATATATATACATATATACATCAGTGAAGGACCAAATTGTACATACATACAGGATTTTTCCGTTTTTCTACAATTTGTATTTTAAACGGGAAAACTAATGATGCAGTTTTAGTTAATATTCATAAATATTCATGCTTTCGTCGAAGGAATCTTATCGTCTGTTGCCTGACCGTTCCCTTGTTTAGAGCTTCAGATCCTTCTGTTACTTCCTCCACTTCTGCTGGATCTGACTGGATTTCTTATTCTTGTGCCCCCTTCTCCAAGATTTGGAATGTATGCTCCATGTTGTTGAGTGACTCTCCACGCATATGATCAGCTTCTACTTTTCCCTTCTAACACCTTCCAGTGGGAGGTTAAAGATCTTCATTTTGGATCTATAGTTCGAAGGTTCTCATCACGGCTGGCGTCGAAACCAACCCAGGTTCGCTCTTGTATCCACTCCCAGGCCTCGACGATCCCACAGTGCTCTCTGCAGTATAGCTCCCAATACAATTTAGCAGCAATGGGCTCCAGGGACGAAGAGAAAGTAAACTTTATCAGTCCGGAGCACCTCTGAATTGCTACGATACAGGAGACTAAGTTGACCCGATTACGATCCTTGGCATTCTAGCATTTGAGAGAAAGAGCTGGCAGAACTGATAGACGATTCGATAGTCTGCACATTGAACGATAATCAGAGTTTTGGGTAATTGTCGAAGCTCCCCAGACATTATAATTGTAAGTGATGACCTGATAAACAGCATAGCCTGAGGATATGTGCTGATGATGAATTTGACTATTTACCCATACCACTCTCGATTGATAAGCCTTCCAACCTTGCTTGCGTGGACCATCGGATGGTCGTTAATTTTAAAACGGCTAACTGGTCCGGATCCACGGAATTTATCGATAACGCCTTCCGTGCTCTCCCCACTAACTAACGCCACAGCTGGTGAACGTTCTTTTCACAGGATTATCGTGGCCGCTACCGCCCGGTCATCCCGGCAGGCGGAATTTCGGGAACCCGCCCAAATTTCGCGACAAAAGCGGATGTTCTAGCATCTAGGTGCGACTCCATTCGTAACACCAATCCCGGAAATACCCTAACCAGGAATCTCTATCAGGACATTCTTCGACAAATCAACACACATAAGCGGAAAAAGTGGGAGGAGCACTTAACATACTGCAACTTCTCCTCAAATAATGCCAAACGAGGTGCGATGATTGGATGAATATCTTATTTGGCGACCGCGCTTCGTCGGACTCGAAGAGATACCGGAGCTATTTTAGCCGACTATTTGCAATGTTTCCTCCGGTTGACAAAATGAAAGAACTAGTAACCTGCCGAGCAAGACCGCGACGCTTGATTTCTCCAGAAAAGTGGTTCAGGTGTCATCGGGAAAGCGAACCCATCGGCCCCGACGGAATAAGCCTTTTTGATGTCTTTCACCACCCTAAAAATACCCGATATGCGGAAAATGGTTACAGCGACATCCCTCCTCTTCTTAGTAGCGAAGACTCTTGAGGTCTTGTAGCTCCCGAACTTCACACACTATCTGAGTCCAGGTGCACATCAGCATGGCTTCCGCAATGTGCACAGCACCACAACTGCACGAACTGTCTTCTAAGCCCTGCACCTTCCAAAAGTTTTGACACGGTTGTCAGTGCTACTATCGGACATAGAGCAGTCCTCATTAGCGCCGCGGTGGAAGAGGTGGATCATGGACAGTCTGAGTGGTCGTCCATCATTGGTATAACTTCGAGGTCAAACATCGAAACTTATAAAGATTAAACAATGTACTTCGCAGGATGGTGTCCTCTCCCAATCGCCGTCTAGCTTTTATATCACGAGATTCCCTCGTACACCGGAAGGCGTTTCCCTGATCTCATATGCCGATGATTTCTCGATATTGATGACTTATGCTCGATAGCAATCTGCTATCTCAACGATCTTTCCCCCTTCTTCACCGCAAGACAATTAAGACTGCAACCAACAAAATCCTCGGCTACCGTCTTCACCAGCTGGACGAGCAGGCTCGAACTCCATGTGAAAGTCGATGGCGTCGAAATTCCAATTATAAAAAAGCTAAAGTTACAGGGACAGTAACAGCTTGCAATCCTTTACTCCGCATACGACTGCAAATAGAACCGCACACAATCCTCAAAGCCGACAACAACTGGGGAAAGGGTAAAGAAACATCCTAGGCTACCTACTAGGAAATTAGCTGGTCGGACGTAAACTATGCTGCTCCGACCTGGTCGCCGGGGATTAGCGAAACGCAGTTCATAAAGTTACAAGCCTGCCAAAACACCTCTCCCAGGACTGTGACAAGAAGCCTTTTCTGCTGAGATGTTATCGTAGGAAGCACCGCAACAGACATTTATTAGAAGCTGAACCTCCACATCAGAGACGAAGTACTTGACTTAAAAGATTGTATTCAGCACCATTTACAGCAACCGCTGGACAGAACGGCGTACAGACAAGCACTGAACGCCATTCACCAAGAGTTGGTTAACACCTTAATAAACTCTCTGCCTTTGAATGGCGTTCTCGGACTCAAACCATCACCTAGAGCTGACGAAAAGCTCGAGCTGCTACGAGAGTCCTTCGTAATACTGCTAAGCGGATTATACTCCTTCTTATCCATACTCGGCCACTCCATACCCAACGTATGTCCTACATGCAACGGATTCCCGCATGACACTAACGACCTCTCTGCATGCTCCCTAGATGACCTCGATGACTTAGACTGACCTAGCCTTTTCATAAGCGGGTTGGCGAACCGCTACTACTATAACAACAACAATAACATCAACAATATAATGCATTCTTAATACTCTAAACTAAATGTTAGTCGCGCTTAAAAGAAAATAAAATTCTGCCGAATATGCTTGGATTTTATTAAATAATGGGGAAAATTATCTTTCAGTTAATCTTGACGACTAATATGGAAAAGATTGCCAAACTAATTTTCGTACTCCAAACATCCTTCCCGAAAATCTAAGCGAGGATTTGTTGCAAAACAGGTTTTACATACAAATCTACGTCATTTCAGAACCATAGCGGAAAAAAAAATTTACTACTGGTATCTTTACGGTTTGATGGCTATGAAGTATGGATAATTATATCTTTGTTGCATTGCAAATTTTTGAGTAAAGTTTTTATTTAAGTTTATTAAAACACTTATGTAAATACTAAAAAACAGAATAAATCAACTGTATTAATGAATGTCCCCTGCAAGAAGGCTTCCGATCATTTGAGTCAATATAAAAAAGTCAGGAATGCATGATGACATATCCCGTCAGTTCATAGAACGATTTTCCCAGAATACAGCTGAGCGACAGCATTGATACCGAAAGTATTCAGCTTTGACAAAAATTTTCCCTACATATATACATATATACATACTACCAATATTATTAAGATTCAGCCTTTATTTCAATATTTTACGTAAATCATGTACTGTAAACCATGGCATACAAAAGAAATAACATTACAACAATAAATTTGTTCTCAAAAATTATTCAAAAAATATTATAAGTAAAACCGCATATACAGAAGTCTTTAATAATGCCATGCTTTAGTGACGCAGCTCCTCAGCTTCTCGAACGCATCCATCATACTCGCCTCTTCTTTGAAATACAAAGAGGTCTAAGTAAAAAAAAAAAAATATTCGAATAAAAATGTTATAAATGTCTAAATACCTTGCAAAGTTTTGTCGAATACTTGTAAATCTGCTACTGCTTCAAGGTGAGAAACATCCATTCCAGTAAACCTGTTCCTGTAACTGAATTTTCCGTACGATATGAGGTGCGCTTAAATAAAAGCAATTTAAAGAGTAATGAAAAATGAAGTAGTTAACTAAACGACAATATATTATATATTTTTACCACATACACCTTATCCATATTTTTCACTTTTTTACGATCTTTGCTATCTGCTGTGGAGAAATCGATAAAAAACGGCGTTCTACTCGAATTTAAAACACAAAATAAAACGGATAATCCGTTCAACTGCATTCTCCTTCAATTTGTATGTATTCAGAAGAGAAAGATAAACAAAAAAAATGTGCATATGTGTTAGTGCTACACGAAATCGTGTGAGTGTATTGGTGAGCCCATCGGCCTGTTCTTGCAGGGTATTCAACTGTAACTATCAAAATAAACAGCTGTTACCCTGTAGGGGACAACCAACTAGTATGCAAAAATTCTAGTTAAATACTAGTATGTTGAAGATGAAATCATACCAGTTCGTTATTTGTATAATAGTTCATCAGTAAAAGGAGAAATAAAAATTTCCGCCACTGTTTGTTGTTGTTATATCGGCAGACCGCAGCTGAGTTCCATTCTCTGCTCTGTTTTTTTGAAGTGCACAAAATGACATTGATCGTTGCATCGTTATGGTAGCCGAGTGGTTAGAGGTTCTCGATGTTGTACGTTAAGCTACCGGTGCGAGCTCCGCTAGAACCAAACAAATTTTTAATTTTTATTTTTTTTTAACATTTGGTGAAACAAAAATTCAAAATTTTTTTTTTTAATTTTGCCATTCGTATTTTGTTTTTGTTTTTAGTTTAACACAGCTGAGTTACAATTCCTACAAACATCTGTTGAAGTGCGCAGATTTCGTTCCTCCATATATCATAAGGATAGTCTGGTGGTTAGAGGTCTTTACTGCGGTGCGTGAGAGTCCCGGCTCGGTTCTCGAAGGCGGCGAACTGAGTTTTATTTGATTTAGTTTTTTTTTTTGTGAAATAGAAACCCAACATGCCTAAATGAACTAGTATTGAACTTGTATGAAGCTGATGCATAATAGGACAACTGTCAGCTCGTAGGACATCGCCGTGTTAAAAATACCGGTTGCTGAAATGGAAAATGGATGAATATGAACTAGTTCTTTTTGTGAGAGAAAAACATGTTACTCTTTCATTTTCGTTCCTGGCGCATTCTTGCAAACGTTTCTCATCGATCAGGGCTATAGGTGGCACGCTTTCCCACTTGCGCTAATGAACTAAACAAATTTGTTTTGTAATCAATTCAAAGAATGAAATCTTTTGAATTTCAAAGTAGACCCGGCAGTTCGCATTCATTTAATTGGAACTGAAAAAACAATTAATTATATAAATATTTAGATAAGAGATCACAGATGCCCAGGTTCAAGTAGTGGGGTCTAGCAATGACCCGATTTGCAGGAAGTAGAATTTTCTGTTTAGGCGGTGATTTCCTTAGAAAAATTTCATAATCTGTATATTTGTATTCTTAAATATTTAGACTAAACGATAAAAAAAATTATTTATCTTAGATTCGTGTTCGAGGGACTTACAATTTTTGTTTTAGAAAATACTATGAGTCTATCGCGTCTTTTATTAATACACTTTGCATATCGAATCCTCAGTAAAAAGAAAGAAGGTTCTGTAAATGATTTAGAAAGCGTTTAATCTTAAAAAAATTTTGTGTGTTTGTTAGTGAGAACGACTGGACCAATCTTGATAAAATTGTCAGAGGTTATTCGCTGTGGATCTGGAAAGTATTAGAAATAAAAAGAACTTTATGCCTTTTCTGAGAAAAACTCTTTGAAACCTCCAGCTGATTTGTATATTATTTGAATCGTTCGATTTCGAACACTTGCTTTCATTATTTCGGCTATACAAAGTGTAATATAAACAAACGGATTTAGTTTCCAAACAATCAACAGGGCACAAGGACAGTCGTTTGTGGCAAAAGTCTGGAAATGCCATGTTTTTCACACGGCAAGCTGCACGCGTGATCACGAGTTCGAAAACATCTTCTCAATACAACATAAATTCTAGTTTCTTTTATTTTCTAAAAATATAATTTCAAGCAGGACAACGCCTGCGGGGTCAGCTAGTCAATTATAATTTTCGCCTCCACAACTTTCATTTATTTTTATATTATTTTATTAAATTTTTTTTTTTTGGTAATTTGTGACTTAAAAACGTTTCGCCTATGTCTAGTAAATATTTATTTTTATAAAATAATAAAGTATAATGGAGAAAGCTGTATAGATGTATATGTACATATGTATATGGTGTTTACAACAATAACAATTTTTTTTTATATCTTTCAATTTCATGAACGTTATTCTAACGGTTATAAATTTCAATAGTGACGACCCATGATGCGATCCAGATCATTCCAACTGCATGAATAGTCGATTTGAAGAAGCCCCTTCTTGCTCAACCCGAATTTATGACCATAAATTCCGCTGTAGAGCGACGAGGGCGGTCTTCGCCCCATGGTACTGCCATATAATGTATTTCCCTTAATGCCACTCTCTTCACTACCACTTGAAAAGCCATATAGTGCAGGTGAAGTGCCATAGATTAAGGAGCAATCATAACATTCCGATACGCTACAATAGGGAAGAGTTGCATAAGTATTGGAGTATGCACAAGAAGAGGGTGGTGGGGGTAATGACGGTGGGGCGGGAAACTCCAATTGTGGTGCTGGTTTATTAAACGATGGTCTTGAGCATCTTGGTGTTAAGGCATCATAACCAGAAGTTTTACGAGATATCATTGTCGATGATTGATAGTGCTCTTCACCAATGGAGCTATGCAATTCAGTTGAGGACGATGAGGATATGCCTTTATGTGCAATAGAAGTTAGATTTTAGTCATTCGTACTTTTGTAATACGCGTAAATCTGTTCATTCTGTACCACTTACCTCCATAACCAGTATAAACATCTTCTTCTGCTTCCAAGTTCATCATCATATGTGATATGTAATCTTCGTATTTGTCACGACCAACACCGTAAAGTTCGCTAGGAGTATCCTCGTAACGGCGTCGCTGTAGCATTGGCATGGGCGATGCGCAACAATCTAGTTGGCATGAATCATTCCAATTCGAACGGCGTCGATTTCTTGGCATGGTAGCGGCTAGACGACGTGGAGGTGCCATTGGTAAATCGGCATGAAGTTCTGAGTGTGGAGAGCGCAGCATGTGATACGGACTAGTGGACAACGAAGTGTCGTAATACGGTTCAGGTGAAGTTCGAACGGGCGTGGAGGACAGTTTTCTGGAAAATGCAAATATTCATTTAACTGAATGATCCTGGAATAAAAAGTGTAGACTAATATACTTTCTGACATAGTCATAATTTTCCAAATCCCATGGATCTACATAACAACGCTGTGATGGCAAGAGTGTGGTGCCATAAATGTCTTCTGTGTTGTCGATGGTGTAATATGGGGATTCAGATATTTCAAGCTGTTCATCATAGTGTTCACGCCGCGGAGTCGGGAGCGGCATTTTTGGACCACGCCGTCGGGGAGTTGTGTGGCTTCGCTCGCGCATTTTTAAGCAAATCTAAAATTTAAAGCTGTGAATTAGAAAAAGAAATGAAATGATTTTTTAGATAGTAAATTGATATTGCACCAATCAAATATGAAATCACTTTTTTTTTACTTTTTCTACTAAGCGTATTTGCCCTTTATATATGTTTTGCAATTTTTATTTATAGAATTGTGCTGATGCATTGTATTGTATTTTATATTAAGTGAAAATATGGCCAGCTATTAAAGCGTCTAACAGGTACAATAGAAAATTGTTTCCACCAATTATCACTTCAATTTCTTCAGAGTCTTAACTCTAAGTTCCGCAAAACCTAAATCAATACTCTCTTCATGTACTGACACGTGGAACACGTTGGAAATTTTCGTAAAAATTCACGAATCATACTTCTTTGGATTCGATAGGACGGTTAAGATCACAAAAAGTTCGCTCGATTTTTACCAATTATGAAAGCAGTGGCAGGTAGGAGACCTGCCCGAGAGCTTCGAATAAGTAACGGTAGTATTTTTTGGAAGGAATCACTTTTATTGGTTGATCATGGCAACCCTGAAGGGTTGATATTACACCTATTCTTAACGGCTTCCTACGAAAAGTAGTCCAAGAGTAGAAACGTCCAAAGTCAAATCGTAAAACAGAAGACGTGTGGTATGGTCGTGAGGTGCCAGTACTTAGCGCCGAAGTTATTTAATTCCTGCCAACAGTTGATGTTAATCGCTGTTTAGTGCACTTTGAGCTACAGAAACAACGTACTAGACAAGCATGTGCGCGAGTTATTTTGTCAAATAAGGAAGCAGTTAACCGAACTCTTTGCACTAATTGATCCAGAAACTGCCTGGAATGCGATTTATTTCGCCTGGACTTCGAGCCGAATTTTTTTGCAGCTGCAATTGAAAACTCACCGCTTAAAATGAAAGTTTTCAGTAGTTCTGTATTTTCTTCACTTGATACATTGGAAATATTATTGAAGATAGTAAAGCTCAAAAAACCAGCCTTTACATATTTTGTATACATATTTTTGTTTTTGTAATTTTGGGAATAATTAGGAAGAATCGGCTGATTGTCATGATCCTACAAAAGAAGGCCGATGGATTTTTAAGAGGAGCTTTCATATTTCATATCATAAATACATTTGGAGGAGTTGACACTCTTTGCCATGAGCATTCCCATAGTAGAGTGGATAAACACTTTGCTACTGCATCCGCCTCTGCTATATATGTATATACGAAATGTTCATTAAGAGATATTTGACTTGTATGGTATATACAAATGATGCTAATAAAATGCTATATGCTTATATGTATGTTTTATTTACTTCAAAAAAGTATGGTAAAATATGAAATTAAATCAAGAACATTTTTGTTATTTTATTAGTTTCTGTATGGATTAGGCATAGATCATAACATATTTCAAAATAGCTGAAAAAATGTATTAAAACAAATGTATTAAAAACAAAATATAATAACGGTACTTCAAGAGACGACTTTTTCGATATAAATATCGACCTCTGGAAAAGTTTATTGAACTTTAGGAATAAAATTTTGAAATAAACCAAAGTCATTTGATCGACGAGGCAACCCTCCTACCCGCTGAGCTGACACAAATGAATTGTTATGTACTTACAGCCTCAGCGTGCACGCAGCAATATTAAAAGTATTTTCACCGCAAAATCCGTTAACCATAAAGAAATAAACATAAACACAAAATTAAAAGTGCAAGTTCAAAATAAAAAGTGAAATTCGCCACGCCAAATTGCGTGCGACTTTTCCATTGCATCGAAAACAATGCACAGCACAGCAAAAAGTGTATGAAATGATGCGAATATATTGTGCATTTCTCATGTAATGTAGTCTCATGTTTTATATGCACATACGTGTATGTGCATATATACTATGACAAAACGTCTTTGCTTACATGTAAACAAAATGTTTGAAACAAATTCTCTTGTGAACGAACGATGCATCACTAATTGCAACCAGTGAAGGGTGTAATGAAACATAATTTCATATTGAAATTGTTTGTAAAAAAATGTATACATATTTACCATGTCTATATATATATATATATATATAAATATATATATAAAATTGTGGCCTTTTGAATGAACTTTATATGTAAGTGTCCGTTATCACACACACCGGAAACATAATAGAAAAATTTAAATAAAAAGACCTGACGTGAAAATTTACATATAAATTTCACCTTATAACATGGCTTACATAAATATTTGTATACAAAATTGGCTGATTATGCTAAAGTGTATACATACATACATATTTAATACTTTCCCAAAGGAAGTACTTCCATGATTACTTCATTAGTATTCGACTATGGTTTTGGTTTTGCCCCAAAGACAAGGTATTTTTTTTTTCAAATATAAAAAACCAAAGCAATATTATTTTCCATGAAGGTTCATAAAGATATTTTGCATTTTAAGACATTAGAATTTTCACTAACATTGCACTTTGTAGCCGTTAAGCGATTTTCAGCTAACCTCCTTTCATAATTTGTGGTGTGTGTTTTGGTCTTTTTTTCCAGTAAATGGCTTACAGTTTTCGTAAAAAGCGCCTTCGAGCGGCTGAAGAACTTTTATGACGAGCTTTTCTTCTAATTTTAATTATTTAAAAATAATTTTCTAATGACTCGGCTAATGCAGCCGCCTGAAATTTTGTCCCAATAGTAGAGCTTGAAATTCAGTATTAATCTTTTTCTGTAAGTAATTCTACATATTTTATGAAGAGCTTTTAAAACTGAAGATCTCTTCTTTTGTTGGAAAAAATCAAGACGCATACTGCAAATCGGAGGAGGAGTTCGGCCGATAATCGTTTCAGCGGTTAAAAAGTGCAATATATATAAATTTACGAATATAGAAGATCGTATAAAGAAATAATTATAGAAGCGGGTAGTTTAGAAAAAGATCTACAAAATCGTTGAAGAGCTATAAAACGAGAATACTATTAATATTATAAGGCATTTAGATCAGAGGTCATAATAACTGAATCAATTACCTATGGTTTTCCTTGGCCATTGATTAAGAGATTGATTGGTTGATTATGTTACAAGCATTCATAAATGAATGAAACTTTCTACTTTAAGTTTAGTTTTCCCAAAAGTAAAGACTTTGTAGTATTACGATCTTCTTTTTCTTTCTTTTTTAATCTTTAATTTTCAGCCAAACAGTTCTTTTGAACGGCTATTTTGAGGTTTCAAGCCCATTCACGGCTCCCGAGTTATTCGAATAAAATCTAAAACTTTGATGTATATAGCTTAGGTTAGGTCGATGTGGGTGCTGATGTGGAAGCTGATGTTAGGCTAGAATAATCCAATTATTATTAATGTAGTCATACATAATACAAAGCCTTAAAACATTGTTGTGTAGAGAGATATGAATGGACTGAAAATCAGCAATTCAGTGTGCATTTATTATCAGCGGCATTCCTCATTCGGAATCACTAGATTTTCGTTTTCGTTTTACTGGCGTCCGTCCGTGATATCGATAGTGTTAAAGTTAAAAAATGAAATTAGGTTCAATGTAATGTGATCGAATATGCTTTTAATAAAATTTATTGAAACTTTCTAAACAAAAATGTGGCTTATCTTTACACATTATGGAGTCGTGAGAAGAGTTTTTTTGATTGTTTTTAATGCAAAACCCCCCAAATTAGCGTATTACTGTCGAAATTATCATAATAATCTCAGAATTCTTCGAAGAATTGAAAAATTGCGTCTTAAAAGGATATGTACTTTATGTACCACTCGGACATAATAATACATATATAATAATAAACCTACATCTTAAGCGAAATCACTTTATTCAGTTTTGGCAAAAGTACCCTCAAATTGTCTTGTTCGTTTTCTATTATTTGCATATAAATAAGGTTACTGTTACTGTTAGTTTTATAGTGTTCGAAGCCCACTGAAGTAATTTTAAATATGAATTTAAGTGAGACAAATTAAATTTATCTTATTTGCCATGAACGACTCAAAATTGAAATACAACAGAAAGGATTCATTTAGCTCAGAAATATTTTCCATTGTTTCTAAAGAAATAAACAATATTTGGACTAAAGCCTCAATTCCCATCGTAACGAACTAACGAAAATACCTTCATTGCAAAAGATATCCCTAGAGTGAGCAAAATGATAGTTTTGAAAAAAAAAAACGGAAGTGTTTTTTAAACTGTCTGAGAACTTTTAGATGTCGCTGCCTGTGTGTAACATCACACAAAGTTCCTGTTAATGAGAGAAGTTTTTTGACGGATTAAAGAAGTGACCGGGAAATAAATAGAAACTGTAAGATTAATAAAACGACAATAGAGGGAAATGGAAGATTCAACGAGGTTCGCAAGAAAAGTGTGGTATCTTCAAGAAAGCAATGTCTTTTCAGAAAATACTGACGAAGACTCAATGAGTACTTTTTTCCCCAGTAACACAGCCGACAACGGAAGTCATATCATCTAGAGTTACGTATCAAGACACACCATCAACTTCTGCGTTGAATCGAAATACTTTGGCGTTGCGAAAGTTTGTGACCGATATGGTATATCAACGTGATTTGCTGCTTCTGTGTAGAAGAACATATTTCCATCTTAGTGGAACCCGGATTAATTTTTTGGGACATTCTACACCAAGTCATGGTACTTCCAAGAAAATATGTACTTCGATCACAACTTTATTAAATAGTCAATTTTGGAATTTAGATAATGAGATCTGCGTTAGATGCGATGGAACCGCTACTAATACCGACTGGAAAGGTCGCGTGGTACTTGAGAATATTAGGGACATGTCAGAAAACAAATGGCGAATTGTGGAAATAAAAGAATTTTGTTTTTTTGGTGCAGTAACTGGTAATTTTGCCTGACTTAATTAACACGTTGATTGATACATTAAGTACAGATCAAAAATTATATACATACATGAGATCTGTTAAGCTAAATTAGTTGGTATATGATATCTTGAGTATGCAAACAGACAACCTGCAAAATTATCGTACTCTAGATGGCTTCAACAACAGCGCCG